AAGCAGCCTATGGAAGTCGGTGATGCTTCAAAGTAATAGCTCTGTAAGCTTCTTAATCAACACTTGTCAGTCTCCTGGGTAGTGGTAGGCAAGTACACCAGGCGCTCTTTGATTAGCTTCTTGCTAAGGAAATAAAACTCAGATCAGTTCATCAGAAAAGAAATGTCACATTGTGCTATTTAGGATTCATATTAGAGCCACTCCAAGCTCTTAATTTTATGATTTAGTCTGATGAATTATCTTTATGATTAAACCAGTATGCTCGATCAAAAATAATAACAGCTATTCTTTGTGCCAATGATGCTAAGTGATAGACCTCAAATTGATTATTTTATCACAGATGGCATTTTCAAATTCACCATTGGGTACCAAGTTAAAATGACCTGAATTTCGGAGACCTGTAGCACTTATAGTTTAACTATGGAGTAGCCTATGTACAAAATGCTCTTCCAGTAGGAAGAAATAGTGAAAATCGGGTTCAGTGTTGTTTGCACTTATATTGATACTCTATTTTATTTAAAGCTCACGAATCGTACTGTTAGATATTGATAATCTTCCACAAATAGGGTGCATAATTACCAACTAGTTGAGTAAAATTTCAGTTTTGTACTTTATATTTTTTACAGATCTTTAGGGAAATAAGCATACAACATGAGATGCATCCTTTACATCATTTACACTGTAGATCATCTGACTGATATGACAATTGCACTGGGTAGTTATATATACAAATGAATTTGTCAGAAACTATTCTCTCATTCACAAGATTATTTGGAGCTCCAAATATGGCTAAACCCACAGAACAGAAGTATTGATATCCTGGGAAACCACTGCTTCTGAGACAGATGCAAGCTCACTAGATTTGCTTTCCTGTTCAATTTTTTATTAACTGTTCTCCAGTATGGTTTTGTTTTAAAGAGAAATAACCATTTATTTACTTCCTACAGCCTGCAGTGATATGATATTACTAGAAAGATACAGTGCGAAAGCATCAAAAGACGGAGCTCTGAAGAGGATTTATTTTAATGTATTGGACAAAAAAAATTAACTGTAAATAATGCATTTGGGACAACAAAGATGTGCACTGAAGCACACTTAATGCAGAACAAAGATGGGTTCGTTTTATGTCATTTTTCAAGAAAGCGAAGCAGATAAACAGTGAAAGCATAAAGGTATATTATTAAGAAAAAAAAATATAGATGTAGAGATGAAAAAAACAATCAGGGGATTTTTAGCTTGTCAAGTTGCTGAAATCAAATATCTGCATTTACTCATTACCATAGAAGACACAGAAACATTCCTGATTTTCTTGCTTGCCCTGTTAAAATTCCCAGCTAGGAATGACATTAGTTTTGAAATGCTCTGTCTTTGTAGTTATCAAAGCCTTGCGTGAAAGGTGTCAGATCACACTTCTGACACACATGAAGAGTAATCACCCAAACCAAAAGACTGGATTGCTTCTGAGATCCAGACTTTCAAAAGTCCCCAGTACTTTAGGTGACGGGTTTTCCAGGTGTCTGAGAGGAGGTGAAGAGCCCATGCAGTTCATGCATGATGACTGCCAAGAGGAAGAGGCTGTAAAGGTTCTGTTGAGACTTCTGGCCTTAGACGGCTTCATCACCCCACTCAGATTCACTGTGAGAAGGTGGTTGCTTGAGCTTCATTAGCATCACAGGACCGTAGGGTGATTCGGGAAATCACAAGTCTGCACTTCCAGGCTGACAAGCTAAAATGTGCTCTCTATCAAATTGTCAGCTTGTTTTTGTCTTACATACTGAATGGAAGCCTTGATGCCCCTATTTGTAGATGTGGCACTTTGGGAAATGGTTTAGTGGTGGATTTGACAGTGTCAGGTTAACAGTTTGACTCAATGGTCTTAAAGGTCTTTTCCAACGTAAATGATTCTATAATTCTATGTTTCCAGGGGCCTCAGGAGCCCTCAGCCAAAAGAATCTGCAGGATCAGACCCAGTATTAAAACCACATATTTTCCTGAAAAGTCTTTGTTTGGTAGAAATTGCTTGAGGAAAAATATCTGAAACTCTCATTCTTACATGCACTCTCTCACTTTTATTCACATGAATGAACTTTTGCAGGCAGAATCCTTGCATTTAGGCAGAAGCATGGGGGTAAAAATGTAGATATCCTCATCCTAAATCTGTTAAGATAAGAGCTGATGTGTGCAGAAAGGGTGCACACAGCAGAGCTGTTGCCCTTGCTCCAAGCTGACGAGCTCAAATCTTGTCATCCTTTGGAAGAATCTATCCACAGCAGGATGCAGTATGGCTGTCTAAGCTGAGCCTGAGATCAAATTCAAATGTTAAAAGATTACAGATAGTCTATTTCAATAACGATCCTGAAGAAAATCAGTGTAGAATTTTAACTTTCAGATTTTTTATTTGCTTTTATCCTGTCCAGTTTGCACTCTGAATTGGTTCTCCTGACATAGTTATTTCTTACAGCAAAAATGAATGTTACATTTTCTATTTCACAGCTCTAGTTCTTCAGAGCTCGGCTAACCCCATCACTTGGAGGATCTGCTGTCTTTCTGTAAAATCATGCTGTTTCTGAATGAGCAGGCAAACTTCAGAAATCTCCAGTACAGCCTGGAGACCACAGTTTGCACCTAATGTCTCAGTTCAGCCAGGCTTTCAGACACATTAAGCACAAGCTTAGTGTGTGATTGGTATTTAACAGCCTTACCAAACTGGAGAGAGGTCCTTTGGCTTCAGTAGGGTTGAGATTTCACCCTGAGAAAAAAGCCTGCACGTAAGATACTGTAAATCATATTACACCTTTTGTCAGTCCCCCCTCATCTTGTGAAGCAGGTGCTTACAACTGCTTTACTGGAGCTGACTGAATGCAGAGAGGCAGTCCAGCTGGACTGCAAATAATACTGCTAAAGCAGGGGGAAAGGGACTATCTGCTTTAAAAGTCAGAAGCCTAACTGCCAGTTTTCTGATCTAAGGGTGCCATCAGTTTAAGGTGAGAAAACAGATCTTCAAAACACCAGGGCCCATGGGCAAAAGAGAGCATTTTCTGCTGATCTGCTTAATGTGGGATGACTTGACCTTGAAGCTTTTAGAACAAGCAAATAAAATAAAAGTGGATAACTCAGTCACTGAATTAGCAAAACAGCTGTACCTTTCTGGTAATGTTGTAGGTTACATCAATAAAGTACTTTCATCTCTATCTCACAGAAATCAGGTAGTGATCCGTCTCATTATTACAATGTTAAAGCTATAAAAGAAAGAGTGACACCAATATTATACCTATATTGATTAGTAAAAAGACCACAAAGGCTATTTTCTGTAATGAGATATTATATATCATCTAGGCATAGTTTGCAAAAAAGTGTAACAAATGTGGATAAATAAAGCAAACCTTCAATATGAGTTACCTATGGTGATATTCAAAATATGACTTTGGTGCCTGATGTGCAGTTTAGGTGCACTGATCCACTAAAGTAACACAAAAAATCCTGCCTACCCTCTTAACATCTATGTGACAGATCACACACATGTAGATTACACAGATCCCCAGCAGCATGCAAATAAGATCTGAAGTACATCAGAAGATATAGCATGCCAAGTGAAGCTATATCATCTGAAGGTGAGGCAGAGCTAACTCAGTGTGATGGTTTCTATGGCATTGTTGATTTATGCCATACTGGATCACTGCACAAGCTTACCTATGCCAGAGATCTACTGGTCAGCTATTCTACAAACACAGATATCCTGGCAAAAATGTTTATTTAGGTGCCTGCAGCTCTCCTACCAAACATATGTTAGAGATAGTCCTGCTGGGCAAAGAGTATAGGACTACTTTCATTCATTGGTTACTTTTTGTTCTAGGGTCTTTCTATAACTAGTTCATGAATGCCAAAATCCTCTATTAGGTTTGTCTCTTCAAGACTTTCTGAAGTCAGGTCTGGAGCTGTAAATTGTTAGGTTGCCATCCATAAGGCAAGAGCTGCAAAAACTCCTCTGAAAGGAATGCCTTTCCTTGAATTAAAGATGATTCTCTAAATACCATACATAGTCAAATCCCAAACCTCCAGCCAGAAGTAAGTGTGACCGGATAACATTATTCATTGCAGTATGCCCATTAGGAAGTGATGCCATGGTAATCAGGTGGTAATGTGGTACATTAGGCTCACTATCCTGGCCAGAAGAGGCTCACATGGTAATTGAAATCTAGCACAATGTTATGGTCGGTGATAGTGTTGTTTAAAAAATCCCCAGGGAAAGTGTTGTTTTCACAAAGTGTACTGAGTTTCTGCTATGAAATAATTAGGACAGCATGACTGACTTTTCATTTCATTTCATATCCTCTTATTTATGTATGGTTTTCTGAAGGAACTACAGTGGCATTATTTAGTATGTTTTTCTTTCTGAAATTAGTTAACTGGATCCTTGTTTTGAAAAGATCATTTTTTTCCCCCAGGAAAGTTCTTTTTATGGAGTTCATTACTTTATTGACTGTGTGTTTATTTCCAGTCATGACAGAGTTTCTCATGCATACAATTTTGTATTTAGTTACCATTTTCCTATGTTGATTACCTTTAAAACCCAACTGATTAATTCAGACCAAGTGTAGCATAAGGGTGAGATTTACCGTGTTCAACATCTCCATCAACCATAAAGTATCACCTCGTTTGCAGGTCCCATAAAATGTTTGTTTTACCCTAACTATTCCAATTCACAGTTCCATTCAGGATTCCACTCCTATTACTTATTTTTATTCATATAACATTCAACTTAAGTAGGCCAAGTAAGAATTAACATATAAAAGTATTGATTTTGGAAAAATCCTGACCAGTGAAGGTTACTTGTTGCCAGCAAACCAAATAACTGAAACTGTATCCTAAAAATACAGTGCTTACAAATGTATTTAATTCCAGTTAATTGCATCCTTATTCACTTTTCAGCTGTCAATGTTAATGATCCATAGTCTAACCTTAATATAAAGTTTTTTGTTTGATTTTATTTATTGTTGTAGCTCCAGAAGTGTTCCAGGCCTTTATGGATGGAGGTCCAGGATACTCGTACCCAGTAGACTGGTGGTCTCTAGGAATTACAGCATATGAATTACTGAGGGGTTGGGTAAGAATGATGGGGTTTGTTATTATTTAATACATTGACTGACAGAAGTCCCAAAGTTTGCAGTGCCCCTGAATGCACCCTGAATGATAAAATTTGAATGGACGAGGTTATGGCTCAGATCAGGATTGCTGTCCTAGGTCTTTCACAGCTGCAAACATTCTTGGGAAACTTTCACCCCATTTTCAATTACATTATGAAAGTTTGCCTAAGTTTAGCTGAGGAAAGGCCTAATGTTTTAATGGCTGCTCCACAGTGCTGAATGTTTTTTTTTTCTGAATAGAAGTTGAGTTACTTCAGGCTTTATTATGTCTTTGATTCTCTTGGCTAATACCTTAAAAGAGCTAATGTAATATCCTAAAATGCTTGGCCCAACTATAGAAAATGCTTATTTGCCAAAGCACTTGTTACTTATCTAATCAATTATGTGAATAAGCTTAATGAAAAATCTTCCTGAGCATGATCAAATATCACAGAAGATAATGGAAAATTCTTTTCCATTTTGATTCAAAGGATTGAAGTTGGTTGCTTAAATATTTACTGTTCCCTATGGAAAACAGTAATTTAGATACTATTTCAGGATAATGTCATAGCTAAAGTAGCTGGGTTTTTAAAAATATTTAATTCCTACTTGGGAAAGAGGATTTTATTACATTGCATTAAGGGAAGGGGTATTTGTTATCATATGACACTAACACTACAGTACCGCTACCCTGTCCTGCTAGGCAGTTTGTGAGACAGTCCATCCCATGAAAATCTCACAGTTTCATGTAGAATGACAGACAAAGGAAACTAGAAATAAAGACAAACAATTATTCCCATTTTTAGGTGGAAAACTACATTTCAGAGAGTCTGAATATTGCTACTTCAATCCAGAAGCTACAATTTTCAAAGGCCTAAAACCTGGTTAATCTATTTTGCATTTCCATAGAAAGAGCAAAAATCTTGCTCTCAATACAAAGATTTCTCCCATGCCAAATCTCAGTCCTTGCTCTCAAAGCACAGGAGTATTAAAATCCTTTAAAAAAAAAAAAAAATCTTTGCAATTTTCCTCTACCATCATTCTCAAAAGTTACTGAGTTTTTAAGGTGACATTCTTCACAGGATGGAAAATTTTAACCTGAACAGTTAAGGTCTGGCAGTGATAAGCATAATACATTCTCAACCCTGGTCACAGACAGTAGTACTAGCTGCACATAAAATAAATTAAAAGAATATCCTGCTCATTTTGTATCAACTCTTTCACCAGTGAGTGTCTCCAAGAAAGCAGCACAATGAATGATTGTGTAAGGAAAGCTGAACTCCCAAGTCTAATCACAGAAGACACCTAGTCATTTTAATAAATTAAAAATTGTATAGAATGGTATCCATTTGCCAAGATCCATACAGTTTTTTCTGAATAAGACTACCTGGCTACAGACAAAGCAAAGTTGAGTTTAAATCAAAATTTTTTAAAAATAAAAACATTGCCATCTGTCTGTGCTCCAATCAACCAAAACAGCTGCTTGTTTTCTCCTGAAGAGCAGCTCTTGCCCATTGAGCAAACCAGAGGGTGGCTTGGCAGCCCGTGTCTTTTTGTGGACTATGAAAAGGTGTATTTTTTTCCTGAATTGTATTTCTAAATTTTTCTAGTCTAGACAAGGCCTAAACTGACAGGAGTGATGACAAGAGAAGTAGTGGCAGGTTGAGGAAATGTGCTTAACCTGAGGCATGTTGTGCTCTGCAACAACTGTGAGCTCCAAAGCTCCATCTGCTGCAGCATCCCCGTGCAGATGGCTGCAAAGAAGCAGCTTGTGCGTACAAGGCTGCAAGCTATACCTGCAGGTGGGCAGCCCCCTCCTCCTCCACGCTCCCACAGCACTTTGCTCAGCAGTGAGAAGGGAGACCCATTGCCACGGAGCAGATGGGTGGGCGCTCAAGCAGCCCACTGGCTCCTGCTGCAACAGTCCTGGGGAAAAAGGAGAGTGTTGCACTGGGCAGAGCCACCCGGAGATATGACCTTCCGCAGTCAGAGCATGGTGTGTGCTAGTGAATGGGGAAGGTAGGAGAGAAGGAATGAAGGAGCGTTAGAAATGAGAAGCATCAGAAATTTCCATCATTTTCCACCTCCGAGCTGTGCATAGCATATGACACTGCCTGAAGTCAAGATGAGCTAAGAAAAAAGGAGTTGCTTTTTATTGAGCTGCATTTTTGTTTTTATTTGCCTCTACTGTTATGAGATGGAAGAGTCCTCAGAGGACGCTCAGGGTGGCCAAGGCACTGCAACCATTCTCACGCCTCGCTCTCTACTGCCATGTGGCCAAGAAACAGCTCCGTAGCTACAGAAGTAGGTTGCATCCAATACGGAGATGTCTGGACCATTTTTTGGTTATCCAGCTTTGCATCAAACACTGATTTTTTGTCCAAGTCCTTGAAATTAAACTGCATGATGAAAACCATGATACATGTCAGTCTGTTCCTAAGCTATAGACAACTGCTAAAATATTATAGTAACTGTATATACCATGCCCTCAAGAGAGACAAGGTGAAGGAAATAGGTAATAGGTTGGATTTATGGACTCTGACTTTCACTGTAATATGAACAGTTTACAACAAACTTGGGTAAAACATCCTGAACAAAGGCAAACCAGATTCTTTTTATTTTTTCACAAAATAAAACAGAAGGGATCTGACCCTCAAGTGGATTGAATAGCTGAAAAAAACTGGGTGATTTAGGTGTGAAGGATCTCAAAAGACTAAGCTTATAATGGTCATTTGTAGTTCAAACTAACTAATAACAATACTAAAAACTCTTCAAATCTCAAAAAACCAAGACTGCATGATGTTAAGAATCTTTAAAATAAGGCAGTTTTTTAAGGATTTTCCAGTGAGGAAAAAGGCATGGGCAGAAAGATCCTTAACAGAAAAATTTTCAATTATCCATTATTCCTTCAAGTTGTTATTTTTAGAGCTAGATCACCATTTCCAACAATTGGTGTAAATTCTGGCTCAATGATCATATTGGTCACATCATTATATCAAGTCTAAATCAGCAGTAGTTACTTCCTAACAACAGACAGAATGTTAACCTTTCATCTTTAATAGCTGTTTTATTGCTGCATTACCATGGGTAGGGAAAAGCATATGACAGACTTTCAAATGACAGTTTTGAACATGATTCAAGAAAATGATGTATTCAGAGCAGGCATTTAGGTCCTGATGAATTCATATGGACATGATACAGCTAAATGACAACAGATTAATGGAATGTGAATCAAAGCAAAAAGATTTAAGCAATCCTTGGATTTATTTTTATTACATCCCAATGCCTTGCAATGGACTTAGTTTCATACATATGTTCAAAGTCAAACATGTTCATGAATCTTCTCAATATAAGAATCTTTTCTGGGCCTTTATGAAGAGTGGCTCCAATCCACTATCAGATTAGATAACTAGCACCTAGAAATATCATTAAATTATCATCTTGTACTAGTACATGCTATCAAAATTCAAGGAATTATTCAGTTCTTAGTGAAGGTAATGAGTGTCTGCCTTTTGCTGTTGAGAATATTGGATTAGTAGGTAACTCTATGTCGTGTAGGAATTATGATGCATCAATTCACACATTGCTGCTATGACAGCATTTGGCTGCAGATCTCACATATTTGTCACCTGCTGGGTACAACTTAATTCACAAACCATCCATGCTCTATCCTTGCTTAAAAAATACATCAATATAGAGTATCATTCTAACAAGTTGTTTCACAAATACGTCTTAAAAAAAATATGTGCACAATAAATAATACGAATAAATTTATATGTAGTACTTTCATTTCCAAATGCCACATTTAATAACAGATAAATCACAGCAATCTTCATGAACAAAGCACTGTGAAGCCTAGGGCTTCTCTTCACTTATAGAAGAATTCAGGCACAAATAGACACAGGACAGCAGGTCCATATAATCCATAGGTCCATGTAATGAGTTAATTTTAGATTTCAAAAAGGGAGAAGGAGAAGGAATAGGATTTGGAGAGTCTACTTTTTTACCATTTTCTTATTTACTTATATTCTTACACAGATTTTTTGTAAGAATTTTTAAATTTCTCTATCTACTACTCAGCAAAATCAGGATGACAGATCTCACCAGTCACAATTTTTTTCATTTTGTTGGTTTAGATCACAAGTACATTCTAGTACTACAAATAAAAAATAAATAATCTATATTTCACATAGAATCCTCCAGCAACAAAATTATTCAAACATCTCATTTGAACTGATACTTCTCTTCATGAGAGAAAAAATTGCAGAGGAAATGCATCTATGAGTAATTACATTCATTATGACCAAAGAAAAGCACACACGCAAAGAAGGATTAGCCTCAAAATTGTTCTAAAATGTTTTGATGGTTTTGATATTTCCAGTATAAACAATACTGAGCTCAGGAAAATGAGAATTGTCTACACTCTTTTATCCATTCATGCTGACTTTATATTGATTTAACTTTATCCCAGAGGCCCTATGAAATTCATTCAGCCACCCCCATTGATGAGATACTCAACATGTTCAAGATAGAAAGAGTTCACTATTCATCTGCATGGTGCAAGGGCATGATAGGACTACTGAAAAAGGTAAGAAAACACAAACACCTTCTGTCCTTTCTTCTCTTCCAGAAGCCCCTCCAACAATGCAGAGATGTGAGTCAAGGACACACATTAGGTAGTCAAAATCTCAAGGCTAAGAAAGCAGTGCTTATTCCTAGACTTTTCAGGATGTGGGTGGTGCAGTATTTTCTCTTGAGAAGCTGGATTATTCTTAGACTTAGTCTCAGGCTTTTCATGGCCTCAAAGAAATAGAAATCTAATATTTTTATTTATTTTAAAACTGATTCACTAGTGAGCAAAACTTTGGGGATCAGTAATTCCCACTCTGTGTCCTGGCCCCATTTTCTCCAGCCATAGCTGTGCATGTGGGAATTTCTGCCACAGTTTCCAGCCAGGGACCTTAGAAATAAAAAGGGCTATAGTTGCAACAACAAAAGTCGAACTACTTTGCTGTAAATTACACTAATCTACAAGACAAGCTTCTTTCTGAATGCATCACAGCCCTGGAACTCACTCTCTTCCTCAAATCCCGGTTATATGTTTGGTTTGGTTTTCTGGCCATGCTGCAAGGTTCATCTGTCTCTTAGGCATTTCAGACCATCAGTACTGGTATTTGAGAAGGAAATGTTTGTGAATGTGTGAATAGAGTAATACAAGATCAATTTCCTTTGCAGCAATGAGCATTCTATTTTTGATAGATGGAGAAATGAGGTGGTTAATTTTAATTGCTGCCAGGATGCTCAGTGTAACTATATCTTCCAATAAATTAAATATTAAATACAAATTGTTAGGCGGCACTGAACTGTGATGTTTTGTGTCACTTGGACTCTTGTGTATTTGTAAACAGACTTTTGTTACTAATACATTTGCACACTTCATGCCTGAAACAGCTATCTGGTGGCAATTAAATTACATTCATATCCTATGAGTTATTACTTTTGGTTTTTTTAGATTAGGACATCTAGGGGTTGTTAGAAGATTCCCTAGCCCTTTTCTTACTCAAAATTTTGTATCATACAATTTATGTGTATGATACATTTACTCTTTTATATGGCATCCCATCCCTTAGAGGCATCTCTTGTGCTTGATCACAGCTCCTCACTAAGGACCCAGAGTGCCGTCTTTCAAGCCTTGCAGACATCCAAAGCTCTCCATACCTAGCTGATGTCAACTGGGATGCTGTTCTAGAGAAAGCTGTGACCCCAGGCTTTGTTCCTAATGTAAGTCAACCAAATGCTGACTTTAACTATCACTGCTGATTTACTTGTTTATGCTTGCATTTATTGCTCTTCAGTGATTTACTTCTCACAGAAGCTTTACTTTGGATTCTACTTTCATTTACTCAATCATATCCAAGGGAAAATTCGGCCCATTTCATTAGATCACAACAAAACTAATTAACCTCGGTTCACTTTTTGTTCCCTTCTAAATAAAATACCTTTTCCAGACTTTACATTTCAGCTGCTAGAGCAAATGATTGTCAGAGTTAACTCTGAGCCAAAGAATACCAAGAAGATTGTTTCTGCTCTGAAAGTTAGGCATCTGAATAATATTTGCAAGACTTTTTAACATCCCAGTGTGCTGCTACTTTTTCACTTAAAAAATACCGTTCCAAAAGACTGACCTATTTCCTTTGTGACAGTTTCTTATTCTAAAACATTCAGATTCTGTGAGGGAATCTGGTGGGGGTTATTTTATACTGTGGTTCCATTTTGTTGGTATTTTCTGGATATTTCCATTTTGATCGTTTGTAAGGTAAATGGATTTGATGGCCATGAACAAAAAGCAAGAACTGTGGTGTTAACATGCTTCTCCACTTTGTTCAGTCATATTGCACCATGATTCTTCTTCACACAATACATTTGTAGCATACTAAGGTTAGTTTATAATCTTTTTTTTTATGCAAGTGTAAATAAAGATGAGGAAGGGGAAATAGCTAGAACCTGTCCTTATCCAGGTACACCTTAGAGTTCTTGCTAAATCTGATGGGGATAGGATCCAGCCCTGCAGAAGCTGAGGGTGAGAGGGCACTGCCTAATGGAGCAAAGGCAGCCAGGAGGGTTGCCAAGACAGTGCTTGCTGTGCTTCTTGGCACCTAACAAGAGCCTTTCCTGGAAACATCCTGCAGGAGAAGAAATCTATGGGTGGGTAAGCAGGGCTTCCTTCAGGGATCTTGGGAAAAAAAACCAAAACAAAACAGAACAAAAAACAGGAATATAGCAGGTAACTAGCACAAAAGGTGGAGAGAAAGGCAGGTCCCTCTTAGGCATTTTAGAACACGGACATGGAGGCCTGTGGTAGGAAGGTCCCATTGTTTAATTTTTCACTGTGTAGTTTGATTCCATAGACATTGTTCTTACTTAGCTAGTACATGTGTTTCTTTATGGTTTAGCTTGGAGTCATAAATTGTTAGTAGGTTTCTTTTGTATTGTTAAATATTTGATAAAGGAAGCAAGAAATTATTTAAATGTAATTTACTTTCATTTTTAAAGATTTAGAATTAAAGTGATGCATTTTTGCGGGTTCAAACAAATCTTAAAACTGTATATGATCAGGAAAGGAACTGATAGTCATTAAATGTAAATATTTATTCATTTATAAATATAAATAAGTTATAAACCTCCATTAATAAAACCAAATAACTTCCACTAAACCTGACTGGAGAGTATGCAGGAAAAGGCATCAGAGAGCTTAATATTATACTTTGAGTATGCAGACTTTGCTAGGAATAAAAATGATGGAGTGATCTCTAAATCAGATGTTTCATTGTAGGACACCACAAGTTATACAAGTGGTTTCTAATGTGGTCTTACTCCATAGTGTCTTTTGTTACTAAATAATATCTGCCATTTATATATGACTTATCATAGTACTTCCACCTTGACAGTGACGATGGTGTGATTGAAGTCTTAGAAGTCCCAGAGGAAAACAGACTGCGTTTAAGATCTTCCACCACACAATTCAAATTGTTTGATTTTGTTTTTTTAAATCTTTGAGAGAATGAGAAGAAAGGAATTCATGTTATTCTGATCGCAGCAGTAGCAAAACACTGATCCAGTATTTAGGATACCAAGTCATGTCTTTTAAAAAATATTTTGGGTTCAGCCGAACTGTAGATTTTCTGGCCATACCCTAGCTCTTATCCCTAAATAGGAGAGGAAGGACTTATCCCAAATGTTGTCATGAGATGGCTTTCCTACACTAATGAATAGAATTTTTAAAACCCCTCAAGGCATAAACTATACTCCCATAAACTTTTATGCAGAAATGATCTGAAAAAATGAAGAACCTGAAAAGAATTAAAGAAGAATCTGAAAAGAATCAGGGGAGGAAATAACCATATAGAAATGGTGTTTTCAATCATCCTGCTTAAAAAAGGACCTCCTGATAAAACAAAGAATCTTAAGATTTGGTTCAAGCATCACAAATTAACATAAAAGTGGAGAATCCAAAATATTTAAGTAATGTAAGTAAAGGATAAGAAAAAGCATAATAGATTGGATAGGATAGAAAAGGCATAATGGATTAGAATGAAGCACGTGATTGGGAAAAGACAACACGTATTCATCAAGGACAAACCGTGCTTGACAAACCTGATCGCCTTCTGTAACAAAGTAAACTGCTCAGTTGATGTGGGGCAGGCAGTGGGCATTGCTTACCTGGATTTCTCCAAGGTGTTTGATATGGTTCCCCACAGCCTCTTCCTAGAGAAACTGGTGCGTTATGGCCTAGGCAAGTGGTCTGTGTGATGGGTCGGAAACTGTCTGTCAGGCCACACCCAGGAGGTGGTAGGAAATATCTTCTTTTCAAACTAGCAATCTGTCTCAAGTGGTGTCCCCCAGGGGTCAGTGTTGGGTCCAACACTGTTTGCTACCTTCATAAGTTATCCTGATGTTGGGATCAAGTGTTCCCTTATGAAGTATGTCAACATTAGTAGACTGAGTGGGGAAGTGGACACTTCAGAATGGGGAGCTACCCTACCAGATAATCTGGATAGGGTGGAAGAGTGGGTTAACAACAGCCTTATGAAGTTCAACAAGCCATATGTAAGGTCTTGCACTTGGGAAAACTTTATCCAGGAGTGCAGCACAGACAGGGATCTACCCAGCTGGGGAGCAGCTCTGTGGAAAAGGACCTGGGGGTCCTGGTGACCATCAAGCTCCATATGAGTGAGCAGTGTGCTGCAGTAGCAAAGTCAATGCTCAGTTGCATGAACAAGGGTATTACCAGCAGAGATAAAGGCCACACCTGGAATACTGTGTTCAGTTTTAGTCCCCGCTATGCAAAAAAGATGTGGACAGGCTGGAGAGGGTCCAGAGGAGGGTCACAAATATGATCAAAGGACTGGGAAGCCTGCCATGAGGTAAGGCTGAGAGAACTGGATCTGTCCAGCCTTGAGAAATGAAGGTTTACAGGAGAGTGTTACTATGTTCCAGTATTTAAAGGGTGGCTACAAAACAGATGGAGACTCCCTTTTTACAAGGAGTCACATGGAAAAAATGAGGGGTAATAGGTACAAGTTACTCCTGGGGAGATTCTGATTGTACACAAGAGGAAAATTTTTCAGAATGAGAACAATCAGCCATTGGAACAATATCCCGAGGGAAGTGGTGGATTCCCCAACATTGGACACTTTTAAGATTCAGCTGGACAGGATGCTGGGCCATCTTGTCTAGACTGTATTTTTGCCAGGAAAGGTTGGACCAGATGATCCTTGAGGTCCCTTCCAACCTGGTATTCTATGATTCAATGAACCATTTTTTGATATAAATGCTGCTAACAAAATAAGGCCTGTTCCTTCCCTTGTTATCACGGACTGGAGCTAAGTAAACAAATCCACCTGCAACTCTTCAGAAAATCAGATTTTAACAAGTAAGGTCTTAGAGGTACTCCCCATCACTCCTGTACTATTACAGTTGCCACTTATGTTCTACAGCACTAACTGATATTCTGATGAAGACTGGGCCAGATTAATGACTCCCTTTGGAGTGACATAATTGTAGTCACTCTAGGAGTACATCTGTATATAAGTAGGAATTGCTTTATAACATCTTGCCTCCTTTATTTAAAATTCAAACATCACTCCAGGCCTAGAAAGACAGTTTTCATTATATAGATGTGGTTGGGAAGCTGGATCATTATTAATGCTATTAACACTTGCCAGGCAAACTAAAAAAAATCACAGTGATACTTCAATGAGTAAATTTGAATGCTTTTGTACCAGAAAGGAAGACTGAACTGTGATCCTACATTTGAACTTGAAGAAATGATTTTGGAGTCCAAGCCTCTACATAAAAAGAAAAAACGACTTGCCAAAAACAAATCCAAAGATGGAGCTAAGGAAACCTGCCCACTGGTAAGCTGGAGATTGTGCCTGAAGTCAGTGGCATTTCATTTACACTCTTCAATAGAGAAACTCAGTTAAGTTCAGTTTTATCATCTCTGAAAATAGACTCAACCTCTATGTCTGTCATTTTACATATAGCATAAACCATCTCCAAAACAAGATGAAAAGCAACCATTTATTTCAGTCAAATAGTAACAGCATGTTTAAGTTGTAATCATTTTTAAGATTCTCACAGATGCTCATTTAACGTATGAAAAAGTGTTGACAGTTGGCAAATACACTTCCCACACATGGACACATAGTTACAAGGAGTATTTATCTACTGCTAGTACCAAAAATGAAAAGTATGCAGTAAAAAGCTCATTCTTTATACACGTTTTAAAGCTGTCTCTTTCAGTATTGACTAATGTATCCCATATAGAAAGATGCATTGTATAAACAGTCTAAACTTCTGAGAAGATTAAGAAATAATCATTTTTCAGACTTGAATTTTCATTTCAGTGAGGTTTTATAAATTCTGTTGCTACTCCTAATGATTTTGAATGTTCATGCAAGCTGTTCTTAGAGCTATCAGATGTAAAAGTCCTTAGGAATTCTTTGTGAGGAACTTCCAAAATAAAGATTGATTTTTCTATCATGGCCCACTTTTGAAGAGTCTTAAGAATATCTTTTGAAAGTATTCATTCATAAGCTTTTTGGTTCAGTATTGTTTCTGTTGTTGTGATTTTTGTCTATGATTTTCCACCTTTTTTAATCAACTTATTCATGCTGTTTTTTAAAGAACATACACCTGCAGCAGTGCTTGGAAACCGTTAGGAAAGAATTCATCATATTCAACAGAGAGAAGTAAGTGCATTTCTTAATGCCTGTTTAGCATTCACTACTGAAATTAATTTGAGAACTATATTTTTTTTTTCTCCCAGTGCAAGGAAAATTGATTAATGATCACAGCAGTGGGGGCTAAAAGGCTGGATTTCCATTGATTTCTTCCTCTTACAGTCTCTGTCTTTGTAGTTATTCCATCTCTGAAAACAAGCAGAAGTGCTTGTGATGAAAGTATGTTAGAGAGAGAAGATAAATGTCACCAAGACTCTCCAGTGAAACTGTTAACGATTATGCAAAAGCAATACAATACAAGAGGCTGCTTTTTCACAACTTGAACAAAGCCAAGAGAAGTGATAACTCATGAAATTTTAATGATATGAACTGCAGTGTTCTGACTTGGAAGCACTATTCATACTTCATCACCATAAAAGAAGTTTATTTCAACTTTAGTAATTTCAATAGAACTAAATATTAGAAGTATAACAGACATGAAGCAAGTGCTTATTAGTCTAAGAGTCAGCCAGAACTCATAGAAATACAAGTCTAAATCCCATAGATTTCAATAACTTACCTGGCCTAATTAATGCACTTCATTTCACATAGTTTACTAACTTTGAGTTGCAGCCACTATGGACCCATTTGTATTAACAGATACAGCTCATAACAGGGGAGTTGTTTGTGTCTTTGGTCAAATTACTGCATTTCATCCAAGTATATTCAGTGATTTTATTTGACCTAATTATATCTGCAAGCCTTTCTAATGGAGTTGTGTAATGTTAGAATTAATTAAAGAGTTATGACAATCTTACTTAATGCTTACAATGCAGGTAATTACTGTCTTCTGTAATTAAAACTGGGAAACGGATTGTCAGCTTTGAACCGTTGACATCATGTCATGAAGGAAATTATGGCATAGACAACCCCATTTTTCTTGTTACAATCTCTGGGACATGTCTATGCTCAGTACTGACTGCTCACAGACACTACTGTGAGGATTTACAAAGAAAAGGAAGATCCAACAGATTCTTTATGTTATTTTGCACAATCTCTAACACAAGATAGTAATATATTTGTGTAAGGGCCATAAACAAGAAAAGCCAGACAAAGTCAGCTCATAAAAGGTTTTTAGAAGGATCTTGGTGGACTCCTCTGAATCAGTTCTGGTATCAGTGAAGTAGGGAATGTTTGAACTTTGTAGGAGTTTTATTAACCCACAAAAATAACAATTATTAAGATAATGATAACAAGATTAGAAAAATATTACATTGATATATCAATTTAATGTGTTTCCAAGATGTTGTTCATACAAATAGTTCATTTCCAGATATGACTCTCTCACCTACTCCAGAGTCATATGTCAAGGAAACCCAATATACATCAATTTTTGAAAGATAAAATAAAATACCAGACTTTGCAAAACACTTTCAAAATCCCATTGCATGTGTATTCACTAGCATTGAACAATTTCTTTTGACATTATTCTACCATGTGATTCTTATAGATTTTTTTTAAGTGGATAATAAGTTTTTTTTCATTGTTTCATGTTGCACAACTACAGTAATACAAGCTATAAAGGACTATCAGAGACTGATGAGAGATCAAGGAGGAGTTTAAATGGAGTACAAGTAAAATGGAAGCAAAAGATAAAACACATGCATTTCATTCAGAACAGCATGTGTTTTGGTCATTTCTTTATTGGTTTTGACAAGGTTAAGGAGAAATATTTAGTGTAGACCTACAAGAGATCCTTCATTGTCTAAAGCCAGATCACAATAATTTCTTGTTTAAATTCTATTAGAGCTGAAGAAGGACATGAAGAGACTTCTGTAATAGTTTTCAAAGACAAAAATGTTAATAAGAGGGGAAGCAGAAGTGAAATTTTTGAAGTGCAAAGTGAATTCAAGTTAATGAGAACAAAATAAGAGCAATGACAGACTCAGATATCATACTAGAGAGAAGAGGCTACACAGCGTACACCAGAGTAATTCACGGTGGGTTTCCTTAGACATCTCTATGCCCTCAAGGCTGTATGTATAGGCTGAAGCTGTGCTTACATGGATTTCCAAAGCCACATACATGGCTGATCAAGTTCTTAAGGAACATCTGCAGATGCTGAAAGACATGAACTATTCCTATGAAAACAATATCCAATAATATGTGATCATATCATTATGTGAGTTGTCAATCCCAAGCAGGACTTTAAGTCAGTCTCAGATTAATGCACCTAGATGTTTAGATATTCCTCCATGTTCCTCTTCATAGAGCAGAATTTCTTATATAGTCTATTAGTTGAAAATATCTGCATACTTCATTAGATATTATTTAGTCACAAATATATACATTTTATTGTGATTTAAGCCTTCTGCTCAATTTACTTCAGTGGCACAAAACACTACATAAAACATAAGAAAGTGTGAATCAAAAAAATTAGCCCATCTTTCAAAGGAAAACATGAGAATCCCCAAACTTAAAGGATTCAAGGAAGAATTTCAGACATTTCTAATTGAGCAACATAAAGTCATGCAGTAACGTGTAGTTAGAGTGCAATGTTAACCATCCCAATTCCACAACATCTTGTAATCCAATATTTGTAAAATATCTGCTATGAAAAGCAGAATCTGTTTTTATTGAATGTCTTGCTGATACTTCCAGGCTGTGTCTCTTTTTCACTATATATCTTTTATTCTGCAAGAGATACTGCAAATCTTGAAATATGCCATACTTATTTTATTTCCAAGAATCTCAGGAGACTATCAGAAACACTTAGACTGCAGATAAGATTGTGGGAGAGGTAGAGAAAAAGCTTGCTAGGCTAAAACAATTTTAAAATAATTGAAGAGGCTGAATGAATCAACTCAATATTTTAAGTTAATACCAATGAAGAAAATGTGCACGTTTTAACTTTTCTATTGCTTTCTACAGTTAAGTGATTGGAACCTGCTATTTATAGGAATGTTTTGAGCAAGATGAGTGCATGAGGAAGAAAGAGTCCACTTTAGCTAAGCCAAGCTTTCACATGAGTAGACTCAGTTAAAACGGTTGATATTTTTCCAGATGACTTTACCAGCAGCATTCAGGTGACTTACCTTCTCGGTAAGTCTTACTTTGTCCTTGAATACAATTCATTTCGTTGGACTATAGTTTAACTATGTACCTGATATCTATGGCTTGAACTGTTATGAGACGTGATGAAAGATCTGAAGAATTAAAAAAAAGTAGGATGGTGTATACCATCAGAGAATACAAACATACACTGCAGAATGATAGAGCAAATGTGTTTTGTTAAAATAGGAATTAGGAAAGGAGAACTTGGAGCCATGATATTAGATGGGGGTTTTCTGTATATTGGATTTAACTGGACAGGGCCTTGTAGACAAAGAAGTGCAGTCAGAGATTATCAGCAATGGGTAATAAAAGTTAGATTTGTATATCTTTAATTACACGCTCTTGATCACACAACATCTTCTGTTGACACTATTCAGAATTCACTGGGAAGATGAGGAGGAATGAAGGGAAGACGAACTATTCCCAGTTTCTCTGTGGAAAAAGCCTATCAAACAAAGAAGTTTCCAGAAGATGAAACAAACCCATTGTCTTAAGATTTGTGTAGTTGCAAAAGACTGTCCTGTGTACTAAAAATAGCAGTTATAGAAGAAAAGTCCATGGTAGTTCTGTGTTTCAGTTCAGCTAAGCATGTTCTGTTACTGTTAATCCTATAAAACAGTCTGGGAAATTTGTGAAATGTGAAGGGAATACTGCTTTCATGTGTGCAAAATAGACCCTGCATGTTCTGAAGTCTTTCTGTGAAGTCATTCCTATGGTACACCATTTCTTGTAAAGGATAGGAATTAAGGAAAACCGAATGCGGGCCATGTTCATCTTCCACCCTCAGTGTAATTTCCTCTTGGGGCACTCATATACAATTCCAAATAATGGAGCAGCAGACAAGGAGCAGCTTTAGGCATGTGCAACGTTCATGGGTTGAAAATACTTTATACTTCACATAAAATGGCTAAGCTGTTCTGAAGAGGTAGCTTTACACTTTCGTCTTCATTTGTGCAGGAAAACATTAAGCATCCAGAATGAAATCCCTTACACTGTAAGCTGATCTTATCTTGATTTTATTTTTCCAGTGTTTCACATACCACAGTGGCTGAAGTGTTGCTAGATGGAAGGCTTTATTCTTATTAACATCAATATTTCAGTGGATGTGAGCTACAAATTAAAAAACATGTGTGCCTTCTGATATGACACAGGTGTATGTCATCTGTCCACACTAACATTGTCTTCCAATACCTTTACAAGAGGGGTACACACTGTCCTGATCCAAAGTAAAATAACATAGTAAAATCCTTTTACAATCCAAGTTTGAATGTGCTACATGAAATATTTTCTATTCTTAAGAGTCTCAGTAAAAGCTCATACTTAGTTTTGAACATATAAACTAAATAAACCATGATCAAAGAATGGTCCACACACTGAGACTTAGCTGGAGAATATGATCTGAAGTTGATTTCAGGGACCTGTTTGCCTCATTTTGCTGACAAATAATTTTTTGTTGTTTTAAATCTATTTCTACAGATAGATGCTGTATTATATCTAGAAATGCAGCACCAAACAATCTGTAGTAACTGATTGTGTATTCCCATAGACTTAACAACAATTTTTCAAGAATTTAATCTCATTTAGAAGTGGTAGGCTATATTTTCACTTTTTTTTTTTTTTTTGGGGGGGGGGGGGAGGCAAAAGAAAGATTGTACAGGTAAAGCCACACTGTTTGTTTGTAGCTTTATTAAAAAGCTAAGCACAGATTATTTTGCTATTTTTGTGCTGTTATCACTAAAAAAAAATCTTCACGTACATCTACATCTGTTTATGATGACCAAAACCTGAAATATCCCAAAATGAAGAAATAGATTTAATATTTGTTTATAGTGGACTGTTTTTTCTTACCCTTATGGTTCTTGAGTCTCTTCTCCCTGAAAGATGTCTTTAAGATTAAATAGGTGAGCAAACAAAGAACGGAGGAGAAAACACATGAAATATTTGCTCCTCAGGCAGAATAATCCTTCAGTAAGACATTTCACAAACTTTTGAGCAAAATTGTCAGCCTGCTAATGAAAGTAAAATCATATAGCCACCTTTTACTGAGTAGAACATGTATTTCATATATCCAATGTACATGAAAATGGGTTAGAATTCTGTAAAACTAGTTTATTAAATGCAATGGATCAATGAGCAAAATATCCATATTTTTAACAATTCTAGTGGAAACTTTCAAAAACTTACTATGATTCTGAAATTGGATGTTTTTTTATTTAATACTAATATCCTGAATAAAATGTCATTGCTGTGATATTCACCTGCCTAATCCCCGTTGATCTGAACAGGCTTGCAGCTTTCTCTTCTCAGTATTTGTTCAGTGTAACCACACTAAACAATTCTGTCACAAACTAAAGCAGTCAGATGGCTGCTGCGTATTTCCCTCTCTTTTTCTGCTATAATTCCTACTGTTTAGTTCTTTCCTAAAAGGTATTGAATAGCTCTAGGTGAACAGACAGCTCTCTGTTCCCAGAATAAACAACAAAAGTTGAGGGAATGTATTTTGAGCCTACTAAAATGCTTAAAATCATGTTGTCTGATTTTGTCCATATCATAGATAAAAAGCTTAATATTCTCTTCATTTTTTATAAGATCAAATTTATCATCTGTCTCTTTGTAGCTCCTTTTATTTCCTTTCAATTGTCTTTTCAGATTCAAATCCAGAGTCCCTGAGTGATCTCTTTCATTTCAGTTTGATCAGAATTGAATATTCATAATGATTTACAATATACCTCATTGAATGTACTTGTCTTAATAAATATTTTATGCCACTTAGTGTCTCTGGAGATATTTATATTATCATAATCCCCATAATATCTAAATGTTTTTTGGATGAAGCTACAGCACAACTTTTCTTTTCTTGCCACTTCTGCTGACCTTAATTCAGTTTAAATCCATCTTTTTCTGAGCATTTCAAATGGTTTCACTTCTCTTCACTGATGTCTTTTTGACACTTTTCTAATGGATATGTATGCTTTCGGAGATTGCTGCTGCAATCTCACCTAATTAGAAAGATGCCGTTTTGAACATGATTGAACCTGGTTTGGTTTTGGGCACTAATAACTGCTGCTTGGTCATACCAGCCCTTTCACTTCTGCACTTAATTCCTGCTCATTATTACTGGCTTAGAATTGCCAGTCCAAATGCCACTCTCAGTGAGGCAAGCTGCCTGAAGGTTTGAGCATAGCAGGTCCAAGATAGTAATTTTTCTGTAGGCGTACCTTCAAATTCACTTTTTTTGAGAAAAGAGTAGTCTTACAAAAAGCCATCATTTCAATAATGTGTTCCCTTCACAGTTTAATAAGGGAAGAAAAAAAAAATGCCTATGAAGCATCTGGAACCTTGTTTTCAAAGCCTTCTAGGAAAAAAAGCCAAAGTTTTCCCAAGCAAGTAACCATATTATTGTAGCGGTTACACTTCACCAAAAGGACATGAAACTTTGGGAATGAAAGGTTGTGTGTGGGTACATATATCAGAGCATTCTCTGTGCCAAAACATGGCCCTGGAAGGATCGGGATAACAGATGCAGATCCTCAGCACTGTAGGCCAGCAATGTGTTTCCATTTACAGAAAACTAAACACAAATACATCTCATAAAAACTAATCAAATGTCAATTCATAGGCAGAGAAAAGTCTTCATTTGCACATCTCAGACTTCAAAGATGAACAAAAACTGTATGATTCTGAGCACCATCTAAGATTTTTTTTTTTTTTAATAGGTTCTGTGGAACAAATAAACCAAGGCTGCATAACAGGTCATGACTATACAGTGACCATAGGAAACTACCTTCATGCTTTCTCTTCATCTCTCTTCATGTCCTGCACTAGCATAAATTCTCACTTGTCATGAGTGTCCATAAATTAAGAATGAATAATGAAGACTGAACTCATCCTGTTTTAGGAAAGCATTTTGGGGCTAGTTGCTGAAGCAATGCAGAAACAAGCCAGTAATGATACAATATTATTGACAGTCATTCTGATACTTTGTTGAATATATTAATAAATAAGTTGGAAAGGGAGGTGAATGATGAAGTGACAAATTCCACTTATGATACCAGAGTGGTCAAAACTAAATCTGACTGCAAAGACCTGCAGTAGATAATAATAGTCATGCTTCTGAGTTGCAGGGTAATAAGAAAATGGCAGCTGAAATTCAGTACTGATAAATACAAATATGTTAGGAAAAATATAATCTAAATTTTACCTTTAGGACAATAGACTCTAAATTAGCTTTAGTTATGAAGAAGAGAGATTTTGAAAAGACTGCGGATAGCACAATGCTTAGTGAACAGCTAATAGGTGTTAATATGCTCAAAGGTGTTAATATGCTCAAAACTGCACAGAAAGCTATAGAGAAATGAACATGATGTCATTGTGTGTATAGATGTATGTTCATATACATACACCTGCATCTTCTATTCTGTGTACAGTTCTGCTTTCTTATCTCAAAAAAGTTACAGAGGACTTAGAATGGTTGCAAAAAAAGAAAAATGGGGTTGGCCAGAGGTGTGGCATGTCTCATGTTGAAGGATTTCGTAGGCTTGAACTAGTTTAAACTCAGAGAAGAGTCAACTGAAAAGACAGAAACTGGTTAATAATATGTTATGAAACTTACTGAGAAGATGACTAAGCAATGATTATTCACTCTTTCTGATAACGCAAGGTCTCAAAATTATCAGGCTACAGGTTTAAAAGAAAACAAACAGTGCTTTTTTTGTGCAGTGCAGCACATTGCCAAGTGATGCTTTGGATGTTAAACATATAAAAAGAATCAAAAAATAATTAGAGAAATTAATGGAAAAAAAATCCATCAAGGTCCAACAGACATGAGACCTCCAATGCACCCATTGATTTGGGAAGTCTGGAAATATCAGAAATGAGAAGGATATGCCACAGCAGACATTTGTCTCCATTTGGCTTGTTCTATGACAGCGTCCACTGATGTCTGAAATGGGCCACTATGAGACATGGGAATCTCTGTTAGATGGAACAGCTGGGTATGTGCTTTTATACTTTCTCACTGGTTATAAGGCCTCCATCTTCATACAGAGTCTTCATAATAGCATAAGGGTTGCACAGTAAAATGTACATATATATGTGCGTATATGTATGCATATATTGAAGAACACATATATATATCCTTTCTGGAAATAGGGAAAGTAAAGCAGACTTAGGGCAGTAAGAGATTTAGGTAAGATTGAGATTGTTCCTTGCTGTGTTTTAGGGGACATCAGGCACCCATCTCCTGCAAACTCCTCAGGGCTGTGAAATCCAGCTAGAGATACTTGTCCTATGTCCCACCTGGAGTGTAATACATACTCCTGTTGTGGGTGCACCCTAGTGACTAGCCTAGATGGCTTGGTGTTCAATACCAAGTGTGGATCCCTGTGTTAGGCACCCACCTTCACCACACGTTATGTAGGGAGGTTTGGTGATTAACTAAGGGCTGTGAATTACACCGTGCAATCACAAATAAGCTACCAGCTAAGTCTCCTCTTTGAGGGGGGTCCATCTATCAGAGAATGAAAGATCTGCACAGTTAATTAGACTTTTTGTGAATTTACATTTTGGACTTCAGCAGAGAAATAGTGCATGAGGGATACGTGGAGAGATATGAGCCAGCAGAGAAGTCAGCACAGGCTGTGGTTGCTCCCTGGCAACTCACAGGCTCTGACTCCTGGAAACCTGCTGCTGCAAGAAGAAGGGAGGACCATCCCTCCTCCCAGACACGTATTCCAGTCTGAGACTGTTTATTGTTAGGTCCCAATAATCAGGCAGAGCCAGACTGGCTTTTGTGGTGGGTTGACCCTGTTTGGACACCAAGTGCTCACCAAAGCTGCTCTATCACTCCCCTCCTCAGCTGGGAAGGGGAGAGAAAATATAACAAAAGGCTCGTGGGTTGAGATAAGGAGAGGGAGAGATCATTCACCAATTACAATCATGGGCAAAACAGATTTGAGTTGCAGAAATTAGTTTAATTTATTGCCAATCAATCAGAGTAAGATAATGAGAAATAAAACCAAACATTGAAAACTCCTTTCCCCCCACCCTTTCCTTCTTCCCAGGCTTAATTTCACTCCTGATTTTCTCTACCTCCTCTTCTGTAGCGGTGCAAGGGGATGGGTAATGGACGTTGTGGTCAGTTCATCTCCTGTTGTCTCTGCTGCTCCTTCCTCCTCAAGGATAGGACTCCTCACACTCTTTCCCTGCTCTAGTGTGGGGCCTCTCCCACGGGAGACAGTTCTCCACAAAATTCACCAATGTGAGTTCTTCCCACAGGCTGCAGTCCTTCAGGAACAGACTGCTCCGGCGCGAGTCCCGCAAGAGGTCACACGTCCTGCCAGCAAACCTGCTCCAGTGTGGGCTCCTCTCTCCACTGGTCCACAGGTCCTGCCAGGAGCCTGCTCCTGCATGGGCTTCCCATGGGGTCACAGCCTCCTTCAGGCATCCAACTGCTCTAGTGTGGGGTTCTCCATGGGCTGCAGGGGCACAACCTGCCTCACCATGGTCTTCACCAGGGGCTGCAGGGGAATCTCTGCTCCAGCACCTGGAGCACCAAATCCCCCTCCTTCTCCACTGACCTTGGTGTCT